CTCTTGCTCAGGCTGGTCTCGAACTCCTGAGCTCAAGCAATCCTCCCCCCTCAGCCTCCCAGAGTGCTGGGATTACAAGTGTGAGCCACTGCACCCAGCCTATTTTAGACCTTTCTAACTCAGGCAGGCCTTAGCTTCAGCCTTAGCCATAGGTTCCCCTTCGGTCTTTTTTTTTTTTTTTTAATCCAGATATGCAGTATTTAAAGTCAGATTATTTATTTTTTAGACATGGGGGCTCACTGTGTTGCCCACACTGGAGCGCAGTGGCTATTCACAATCACGATCATAAGCACACTACAGCCTCAAACTTGTGGCCTCAAGCAGTGCTCTTGCCCCAGCCTCCCAAGTAGCTGAGATTACAGGCACACACCACCACACCTGCCTCAAAGTCAGATTTTTCCCAACCCCAAAGATACTACAGATATAGTTAGTAGGAATCACACTGGACCAAAAATACAGACATACTTAAGGGAACTGGAAAAAACCTTGTTTTGAACTGTACAAATACCAGCATTGCAGATATACCTGGCTTCAGGATCATTTATATTTCGTATGGTGGGAACTAAATAAAAGAATATCAAAGAGAAGACTTACTTTTTAGCATCATTTTGGGAGGAGTAGAAGAAGTTGCTGTTGAAGCTATATGACAGTTCTTTTCTTGTAAGTAACATCTCTGATCATCCATCCTATTGCTTTGAAATCGGCTTAGTAGGTCAAAGAACCCTTCATCTCCAATAGTATCTGCACTGATTTTCTAAAATGTTGAGAGAAAACCTAGTACACTGAAATATTCCAGCATCATCCCTAGATCATTAATAAACATGATATTTTCAAATGCAAATGGTAAAGGATAAAGATTAAAAACAAAAATTGACCTTTTATTTTCAAAAAGAATACAAGATGGCAATATTGATAATAAAATGTTATTTCAATCCAACTAACAAAAAGCATTTCTAATTATTTTAGTGGGTTTTTTTGGTTTTTTGTTTTTTTTTTTAAAGCAAGCACATGGTGAAATATATTGAGGGGGGAACAAGATAGGATTATAGAGCAAAAGCAAGATACAGGTTTACAGAGCAAGATACATGTGCCACAGATGACGACCTGACCCCCTGTCATAGCAAAAGAGCTATTTTAGTTTTTAATTCTTGTATTTCTAAGGCTAAAGAAACATACCTCAGACTTAGGAGAACTGCTACAGATACTGAATAAACTATGCAAATATTGGTGATACAGGCCTGTACCTCAGGCTTAAAGTTTAGTTCTGAGAGTCTACAACAAATTTTAAGCAAACTAATCTTTATAAGAATTGTTAAACTAAGTAAGTGTATTTTCCTAGCATAGTGATTTCCATGGTTGTCTTATTATTCTTAAAGCTTTGAAGACCCTGAAAAAATATAAACTTCAAATAAATGACTATTTGTAGGGAGAAGGGGATCCTTTATTTGGAAGGCTTCAAAAATGAAATGATGAATGCAATGTTTAATACAAGCAATTATTTTTAAATGTTTCATTATGATGTTAAGTAGTATTAGAGGCACATATGTAAAAAATGTTTTGAGCTTGAGTAGGAGGGAATAAATAATTCTTAGGGGAAATAGGGAAAAATCTCACAGGATATGTTTGTGTTGGCTCTTTAAGAATGAGTAGGCATTTGCAAGTTAGAGATGTTTCATACTGATTAATATGCAATCCCAAAGGTCTGCAGTATTCAGGGGATAATGAACTGAAGTGCAGGGGTAGAGAGAAGAAACCACCAAAATAAAGGCCTTTGTATGCAGTACTAACAAGCATAGACTTTATCCTGTGTGAAATAAGAGGAGCACTGGCAATAGTCTATTTTAAGCAGTTTTGTACAGAAACTTGCCCGTCTAGTGGATTGGCAGGGTAAGAATGAATGCAGGGAGATCAGTACAGGTGCCTATTCTAAACATCTGGCTAAGAGATTAGTAGTAGAATAAGACATGATAGCAGAGATTTAAAAAGGGGGAAGGGTGTGGGAGCAAATCTGAGGGACACAGTGGTTGGATACAGTTAGTGAAAGAGAGGGATTCTGAACATCAAAACATAGCATGGCTCCAAAAACATGGACATTTGCAGGTGAGCTAAGTAAGCTTAGTTAAGACCCCAAACCTTGAACAAAGGTATGCCTTTCTTGAATTCCAGTTCTGCTCTGGATCTACAAAAATATTCCTGAACCATTTACATATACCCCATAATTTTCCCTTTTGTTAGTCATATATAGCCCAGAAAAGCTGCATAAGAAACCACTGATAAAAATTGACGCAAAAGATGCTACAAGGGTGTAGATATAAATGGAATGATGATAACAGAAGT